CATGTTTCCTTCCCACCCACCACCCAGCAACAGGGGGTCAAGAAAGGCAGGGCATTGTGCTATCACAGTATATAGTGAGTTCCCCTGAATGGTCCATAGAAGAAAGGAGATGCTAAACACAACTGAAACGGTGTGTTTATTTTTTGAGTAAAGCCCAAACTGTTCTTATCTTCTGGTGGAAGAAAGCACGGGGAGGTATAAAATCACATTCCAAAGGTCTAGATTCAAAGGAAATCTTGAGTTTACTGCTCTGCCGTCGTCTGTTTGCATGTCTTTGGTGAGGCTTCTTTGCTTTCAGCTGCACTCAGATAAAGGAGATGAAGGTCTTGTGGTGTACAAAATTCTGAATTTGGGGAGGGGTGTGATTTGTGGGGAACATGTTGGTGGAACAAGTTTATATTGCCTAGAAGCTTTTCCAGATAAAGAAGTTCGTTGCAAGAGCTTCAGCACAATCATTCTCTGGAGGGAGGGTGATAGGAATATAAAAACAGAAAATAAAGGGTTTTCAGATGTATGTGAACAATGAGATTAAGCAACATGTATTTTCTTTGCTAAATGAAAGGTGGGAGTCTGTAGAAATTATTTATAGAGGAATCTTATCCTTAAATAAAATCCATCTATGCAGATTTTGTCATATGTGGTTCAAATCACCTCTGAGACGAGAGAAATCTCTCTGTGGAATTCCTTCTGCAGCATCAAATGTGATATTCAAAGCAGCACTTAGTGGATACTGTAAAAGCAAAATATAAGCATTCTAGACAACAAGAGAAGCAAAAGAAGAGTAAAACCCAGTTGAAAAGAAAGTGTGATGGTTACCATCATATAAAAATGCGGCTGAACTTGTGCATTATAATTATATGCTCTTCACAAACAATGGTCTTGTGATCTGAAATACCACAGAAGGGTTTTAATGAAACCATTCTATTCTATTTTTATGTTCCATATAGATAGTACTATTGTATTTTTATCAGGTAATAATAGATAATAGTGATCACATGCACAGACTAAAGACAAGATGCTTTCTTCTGGTTAATGCAAGTCATGCCTGCCAAGTGATTTTATGCAGTACTTTTAAGTGTTATTCTTTTATCTTGTGCCTTCTATTTGTTTACCAATGTTTTCCATTCTTCTCAAGATGGTGTAGTTCTAGTGTCCTGGAACAGTGGTGGAGTTGTAGGGTCCTCCTCCCATTCCCAACCCAGCCGTCAATCCATCAAAGACTTTGCCTGGCAGAGAAGGGAAAGGAATGTCTCCTCCCGCCCCCACTGAAGCCCCTCTGCCATGTTCCAGAGGGTCCCCCAGATCTTCCAAGTAGATGTGGGGGACAGAAGACCACAGGAGGAAGGAGAAGTCATTAAAAAATGGCTCCCTCTTTCCTCCAGAAGGGGGTTTCCATGAGCAGAGTTTTTTTCATAGGATCTCAGGATCCAAGTCCAAGGGTGGTATATAAATATTTAAATCTATTGTAAAACGGTATATTTCATCCTCAGGTTTCAGTTGTGCTTTATCAAAAACCTGTAGCCAGTTTTTGGAATATAGAAGCCAGTTCCCTCCCCAGCACCAACACATACTTGCTTTGCTTTGCTTCCCTTCGCTCTCATTTCCTTGGTCTGGCTTCACAGACCAGCTGCTTTCTCTGCCAGCAAACCCATCCCAACTCCCTTGGACAGATTTCCAGCTTCTCTTGGAAACTCTTCCTTGCAGAGGGCGCACTGATCCTCACGATCATTTAAGTGATCTTCTCCATGAGTAGTTAGGATGCCGGTGACTGTTTCTACCAGCACAGGTGGGCTGGGCGTCATCATGTCATCGCTTGCAAGGAACTTCTGGTGGCCGGCTGAGGCCGCAGGGCACCAGGGCTGCATTCTGAGGCAGGCCCCTGCTGAAGTACTCACAGGCAGCAGGAACACCACTCTGTGCGGTGGGTGAGCCTGCAGCCCCTGCTTTTGACACTCGAGGCATTTTGCGTGCCCTGCGGTCGAGGAGGAAGGGAGCATGGGCCAGGCAATCTAACTGGGAATTAGTGCAGGGATTTCAATCCATCCAAGTTGATGGATGGCCCTTTTCCCAGTGGGACTTACCAATTTATCTGCTGTAATGAATTCTCTATTACTTACCTCTCCTTGTTAATTATAAAGGATTTTCTTACCCTTATTTATCAGGTTCAGACAAGTATATTACCTCTCTGTCCGCACTGCTTTCAATATGGAATATGTGCCAGTTGATTCAATAAGACTCCACATGCTAAATGTTGTGGCTCACTTTATTCATTATTCCAATGACATTAGATAAGACGACATTAGCCTTCCTCCTCTCCCCTTTGTTGCACAAGGAATAGATTGGATCCTTGTCTTTCTTTCTTGCTCTTTTCACCACAAATGTTTTTGCTAACCAGCAACCATGTTTTCCTGCATTCCATTTTGCAGTGTGAGTGTGCACATATCACCCGCTGTCACAGCTCACAAGGTTTAAGGAACGTTGAACAAGGCCTGTAAAACCAAAGTTAATTCTTAAGAAATGTACCATCTCTTTATAAAAGACTAATTTGTAGAATCGCACCTGAGTTTCCAGCATGGGCTGTTGCTGAGCCTATGAGGTATGAGATAATTATCCTTCACATTTAGGAAGCAGAAGCTATCAGGTGTTGAGGTTGGATTTCCTTGGAGACATGTTCCTCTCACTCCTAAGGACAGGAACCAGCAGGGCCCTGGTGACCTTTCACCATAATCAACTACCCACTTTTAGCCTTTGCCAAATACCCTTCGAATCCTCCATTTTATGGCAAAAATGCATGCAACTATAAAGTGAGGAAGGATAAGCTTGTTTCGGGTGGGTGACCATAACATAATTCACTTTTTTAAAGAAATCTCATGGGATGCACACTATAACAGAATCACGGATGTTGTTACTTTAAGCAAAGGGTTCAGATAGCAGTATGGGTTTGTTCTGAATGCATTTTGCCTTGTTTCCCACTTCTAAGAAAAGTTTGGCCAAATGATTTCCCCCTTGGAATTTTATAGTAGAAAGGCCTCAAAATAATGAAGGGTAGAGAACTGAGTTCCCAAAATGAAGCTCCAACTGGAGCAATAGCCGCTAATCAATAATCATGTCTTGTATTAGCAAATAGATGTCCATGACACTTGTGGGATCCCATTCCACCAGCAAGCTCAGTAAGCCATAAATGCACAATCTCGGGGAAAGTACTGCATTTCCAGAGGTACAAAATATGATGTTCCTAATAGTAGAAATGCAAATCTGCCCATAGCAGCAGTGCAACCAATATGTGCAGATTGCACAAAAAATGAGAAAGAAAAGCACATTACCAAAGCAAATTGTGTCAAACCCTTCTTGGAGTCTATTTTCCCAGAGCAATCTTATGTCAGAGGGTATAGTTGTGCTCCTAATCATCATCCTCAGAAACCAATTGTAGACTCAATGTTGTAAAGTATACTTTAAACGGACCTTGTGCATCTTGTTCACAGCCTTTTGACTGTGATTACTACCATTTCATATAAAACTGAGGTTGAAAGAAGCTGACTCACAGCCACTCAGTTTGTTTGCTACCCAAGTCAAAGCTCGAGAGATTCAAGGCCAACATTTAAGGGTTCGTGACACCGGATGCGCATCTCTGGGATTATTTCTTTGCTCTTAAAAAATCCATGGGCAGCATGCTGCTAGGGGCTGCTGTCAGCTGGTACCTCCCCCACCACACCACCAAATTAGGCAGCCAGGCATTTCTAGTTTGTGGTGTTGTTGTTCATGTTGTTTCATTTGTTGACATGGCAATCCACAGCAGTTATAGAGAGCTAAGTGGATCAGATTATGGCCCCTGGAGCCCCCTGGAGCCCCATCAATAGCAACCACTGATCTCAAACCTGGTTCTCGTGGATGCAGGCTCAGATGCAGTCTCTGAAGAGTCAAAAAAGCAAATTTTCAGAGCCTCCCAAATTCTTCTGCAGATGACAGCAGTATTCAAGCCAATAAAAAATTCTGACTTGCCTATTCTCCCAGTATCTCTTCCACCATTTTCCCTCAGAAGAGAGAAAATGCCAGAGGTGGCAGGGCCAGCCGAGGAGCAGGGGTCGGCTCCCCCACCCACACATGGATTGGGCCCCTGCAGGGTCCCCAGTGCCCCACAGGAAAAGGGAAAGTTTCACCTGCTTGTTCAGTCATTCAGGGTATGATGGGCTTCAGGGAGCTTTCCTATCTCGACTTTCAGTCGCATTGACTAAGCATTGGTGCACCATGTGCAGCGTTTGCCATTAGGGGTAAAAGGGCAGGACAGAAAACACAGGGGACAAGCGCATATACATGGCTGTCTCCTTTGAGCTGCAAGACACAAGAAAAGGGCATCTCAGTGACCTTTGAGAATTGCAGTTTTTGCAAGGGCTGTGCTGGTGTGTGATGGATAATAAGGGCTTGCAGTTCTAATGTCAGTGGTTGGTTGGTTGGTTTGTTTGTTGAAAGCTTTTCTATCCCGTCCCTACAGACAGTCTCTGGTGGCTTACAAGCTGCTCCAGGCGCTATCCATGGTGCTGAACCTGATTTCCCCAACACAAACTGTTCAGCACCACGGACAGCTCCTTTGAGATTCATCCTGGCGCATGGGGCCACTTCTCTGTTCCACTGACATGGGGACCAGCAACAACTGCTGGGAACCGGGGACGTGTGGGCGACTTCCAGCCGCAACCCAAAAAAGCACGCCAGGCTATTTCTGATTTGGGAGTGGCAGTGGGAATTGTTCGGCTTACTTCTAATCCAGTCTGTTTTGGGATGGAGGGAGCTCTCCCATCACTACATAATATTAAGGAATTTGAAATTCATTTTTACAGCACATTATATATCAAATGTTATCGGCTGCCCCCAGTTTGGAGCGTGTCCTTCCCCTGGAATCATTCAATGAAAACCTGGATTGGCCTCTGTTGAGATATGCTTCCACTTTGGAAAGGCACCTTTCTGGAGGAGTACAAAGTTGAAGAATATTGCTTTTCTCACCCTAGGTTGAAGCAATTCTGGTCAATATTTTTGGTGGGATTGTCAACTGTGCCATCATAGCCAACGGCATCACCAAAGCTTGCCGAGAGCTTCAACTGAAAGTGCCTCTGGTGGTCAGACTTGAAGGTAAGTGATGGCCCTTAAATGTTACCCTATCCCTTCAGTCAATCTATTCTCTGATTTTTATTTGAAGAAATGGCTAAACAGTTCAGATGAAGTTCAATCTGACCTTTATTTATTGTATTATTTATTAGATTAATATCCTGCCTCTTTCTTATTAAGATCCCAGAGCAGCTTACATCATCCTCCTCCTCTTGCCCTCAGTCTTATCCTCACAACAACAACCCTGGGAGGTAGGTTGGGCTGAGAGTCTGTGATTGGTGGAAAGTCACCCAGTAAGTCCCATGGCTGAGTGGCAACTAGAACCCAGGTCACCTGAGTCCCAGTCCCGTGCTCTTAACCACTACATGGCATTGGATCTCAGACCTTACTATTAGGCAGAGCAAGGCAGTCACCTTTAGTGCAGTATCAGTCCCCTGGCTATTCCCTCTGTTGGATGCAGATCTGTGCATTCCAGGAAACCTGCCCTGCATCCCTTAACTTAGCAGGTACCCACAGGTGAGTCAGAGGATGCTCTTCTGTCACCCATTTTGCAGTAAGATTCAGCTGCCAGGCTTGTTGGCTTCAGTAGGTTGTTCTTCGCTACAGGGACCAAAACATCACAGGGCAGCCCTTGTAAGAGTGTAGTTGTTTCAGTCACCTTAGTGTGATTCCCTGCTGTACCCCATGTGCCCATTCACACCTCAGTTTTGTCTCCAACATCAGCATTCCCCTTGCCTTCCCGTTTCTGTTACCATTGGGTTCTTTTGTAAGTTGCTGGGCTATCCCATCAACTGAGCTGATCCTTGTCCTCTTGGTCATTCAGACATAGCAGTGTGTACACGTACACAACTCAAGTTCATTGATGTTCTTGAAATTTCACTTAAAAGCTGAGTTCATTATATGCCTGTATCAGCTGATAATTTTGTTCGTTTTCTTTTCGTCTACACGTTGGTGTATGTTTTAGCCCAAATGTTTCCACTTACACACATTGAAACACATTCTTCCATTGGTTAAAATGTGTTTGTGTGCTTTTCCATACATAGTTTGCAAATATATGGATGCTATCATGATGCTAATTTGGGGAAAAGGCCACTCAAATCACATTGCAAATTCAGAAATGTAGAGACCTCTTCTAGGGACTGCATTCCAGTCCCCGTCTGTTGCAGGATGAGTGAAGCGGGAAATTTGGCTGAAAAGCGAACTGAAATAAATTCCTCACACTTCCATCTAATAAGGTCATGCTGAAACGGAAAGTCTCTTCCAACAACACCCATTGCAAATGCTCCGCACGTTCCACAGTGCTAATGGGAATGGAAACATTCACTTGCTTCGAAGTCCTGCACAGGTGTTCAGCCTGCATAGCTGAAGGAGGCAGGAGCAAGTGCCCACAGACTCTGACCCCAACCTGCCCATGTTGAGAGGAGCGTATCCAAATGCAATTGTTGGGAAGGGAGTACAAATCTCCGCCAGATCGGAACGATTCCAAGCTTTTGTGCTTGATGCTTGCTGCTTCTGCCAGGGGTGTGTGCCTCTGTGTCTGTGTGTGCAGGTCCAAGCATCATTTTTGCGTTCAGGAATACCAGCTTCTAGCAACAGAGCTGATCCAGCTTAAATCTGGACCCAGTTTGCTCTGTTTGTACTGCCACACAGTGTGTTTTTCTTGATCATCTGTCAGATGTAGTCAAGAAAGCAGGGAAGGAGAAATGTGTGACATCATCATTTCAGAGTATTTTAAGTGGTTCTGGTAATTACAGAAGGCAAAGTGAAACTAAACATGTGGATTGTTTGTTTCTGGAGGCAGCTCCATGCATAGCTGCCAGTTGATGTCCTTCACAGTTCTACTGCAACAACTAAGCATTTTAGTTAGTTAGTTAGTTAGTTAGTTAGTTAGTTAGTTAGTTAGTTAGTTAAAACTTTTCTATACTGTCCCATACTTAAAAGCCCTAAGTAGCATCTCTGGGCGATCTGCATGGGAGACCACCTGGGAACCCTTAGCAAGACATTGTGAGGACTTTGGAGGACAAGCAGGGTGGAGAAATAAATTTGCGTGCACAAGAAATATCCCTATGCTTTTTGACAGAGTGCACGCCTGTCACAACTCCGTGGTTGCTGGCTTGGAGCTGTGCTGCTTTTTCTGGCTTCCCATATAAATCTCAGCACAACCAAGGGTGGCCTTAAGTTGCAGGTGTGGAACCTCAAGTCCAGGGGCCAAATCCAGGTCTGCATAGTACTCCAGACAGCCAAGCCGTTTCCCCCGACCACCAGTCATTCACTGCTTTCCCATGTTTCCTGTTGCATTTTCCTATTGTAAAATGTGGAAATGTCTCTCATGAGACATAGTTACCGGCAGTAAGAGCTTTAAGCTAAAACATGCTGGCACTTTGCTCCACCCCTTTGCCTTTGGCCTTGCCCACCATTGCAATGCAGACGCAGAGAGCTTCTCCCAGTCCTTGGGGTGAAAAACGTTCAACACCCAGGCCTTGGGCAGAGCATTGCCACTCATCCACCCCTCCTCAGCAGCACACACATGCTGTAGGCAGTCCTCTTCCTGATTTGTGGGTCCTGATGCTTCCCTACTGGCTAGGCTCGGTGTTTGCTTAATTCCTGCTTGGTGCACCACTTTTTGGGGCAGTCACTTAAATACATTCTGCACATCACATCTGATGCCAAGCAGATCTTTCAGATGCCAGAGCAAGAGCTCTTGGTATGTGTTGCCTCTCTCTTTTGCTGCTGCAGCTTTTGAACTGTGCCGGCGGGGGTCAGGGATCAGGTGGGCTTGGACTGCAGCTGTCTACAGAGCAAGTCACAAACTGGCTGTTTCCTTGTGCAGACAGCTGAAGCCCAAGGCCAGGATGTGACCACCAGTGGTGCATCAGAACCAGGCTTCCAAGGAGGTAGCACTGGAACTTTTTGAGTCTTCGGGGCTGCTGATGTCATCCGCCACTCCCCTCACTCCTGTCTGCTTCTGCTGAGCTTAGCTGCAGTTTTCCCAGTAGGTGAGGGGAAAGGATTTTTTCCAACAGCATATGTTGTTCTCTGTTGTAATGCAAAGTGTTTAGGGGGTAGCTTGGCCTCAGATGGACAACTGCAAGGCATTCGCTTTTCAAATAGCTCTGTTCCTAAAGGAGATGAAACTCTTGCCACTGGTTTATTGATACAAATCAATGCAGCTTGCCTTCATTTTCCGGCTCTCTTGGGGGTGTGATTAGGCGACTGCATGATGAGTGCCTGTGGTTCTGAATATACCACTGCAATCCCTGGTGCTCCCATCACCGAGATATGCTGTGGATTCATAGTCCTATTCAGGCATTTTTAGAAAACAAAAGTGGCAATTGTAGGATACCTCCCTGCCTTTGTGAAGCGGCAGATGAGCTGAGCAGGGAGAGGAAGCCTGCACAGCCAAAACCACTTCTTTCTCTTCCGTCTAGTTAAGTAGAACCCACAGTACATTTCTGTAAGTGATTATTGTGGGGTGACCACTGGAAAAAAATGAAGAAGGGAAAAATTGCATCTAAGTATCTGTAAGTGGGATCTCAGAATTACAAAGAGGACTTCTTTCAACCAGTATATTCCTTTCACTGGAAAAAAATACTGCCCATTGGGAGACCTCTGGTGATGTACCGTGTTACTTCTAATTGTGTTCATTGTTTGGGTTGCTGGAAAGGTTCTTCCTTACCATCTGCAGTCTCATTGTAACAATATGAACAGACTAGAACCATGTGGCTCAGAGGCTCACCGACCAGCTCACTGGCCTTCGTCACTGGCCAAAGTATGCATATTTAACTCCTTCAGTCCTCCCTTGATGTTGGTCCTTGGTTGTAGCTCCTGAAATCATATGTGTTGCTCTTTGAACTTCCATGTAATAAGAGATGAGTAGAGTGTTTGCAGGCCCCTCGACAGCCATAGGAGTCTTCCAGTTCCCAAATCCAAGGTCAGAAAATAATCAGTCTCAAAGCTGAAGATTCCTGTTCCCTTCTTCCCTGCCCCAGCTATTGCTCCAAGGTCATAAGCCTAGCCTTGAAAAGGGGGAAACAAGTCAGTTCTGGGGGCAGTGGAGAAGGAAACTGGCACGGGCAACCTCTTCCCTTGTTCAGAAGTGCCACAGCTAGAAGGCCAAAATGAGCCGTCTGCAGGGCAAGAGGAGCAATAGATACTTGTAAGTCTTTGAGTTTGAAGGTTTGTGGCCATCTCCACTGGACTGCAACCTAAGTTTAATTAGATTGAATGATGCTGAAAAAAGAAGCCCAAATCTTATGAAAATACCACTGAAAATAGGACGTCATAAAAGGACAAAGATGGGTGTCAGTGCATATTGTATTTTCCATGTGAGATGTTGCTCCAACAGAAGGTTTATGATTATTCTCAAAAATCTCAACAGATTTGTTGCCTGGACTGTACAGAATTCCTGCCCACATGAAATGTATTGCAAATGTCTTGATGAGTAAAGTTTTAATCAGTCAGATCTGTCTTGATTTAGTAGGATTTTCTGGACAAATGGTTGTTCTCAGCTGTGTAATAATTACAAGCTTTTTTACCAATGGATAAAGAAAGGATTACTTTCCCATTTGAAAATGGTAACTTTATAATTACATGTATTTACTTGCTAGAGAGAGAGAGAGCTGACAAGCAGGATTATTTTTTGAAGGAGCCCAGAGTGACTTGAAGAATTGCGTATTCTGCATTTTAGCTTTAAATAGGTGATGTAATTGTTTCTGCAGGACAAGGGTAACCCCTCTTTACATCATATTAATGTTCAGTTTCAGAAGATTTCTGTAACAAATAGGTAGCAGGCCTGGATTAAAGCCAGATATGCATAGGTCCCACAGTGTGTAACTGGGTTTTCCCCCCATTTCTTGAAACTTTTCTGTATGTCTGTCTGGCTCCCTATTTAGAGCTCCATGCCAGTGCTTGTGGGCACACACACTGGGCCATATAGTTTCCGGTGCAGCCCAGGTCCCCTTGTTTTATTGGAAGGAGCAGCTTTGCTTGCGTGTCCGTTGGCGCATGGCACAGCTCAGTTCTTC